GAGACCTCAAGGCGAAAGCCTGGAGAGACGCATCAAGCATGTCTAGAGTCGACTGGTCAAGCGATTGGCCCTCCAGGGCAAATGCAAGACCCAGCAACAAATGGGAGAGAGAGTTTCCAATACGCCCCATCCTAGCCCCTGAACCGTAGGCTCGGCAAAGCAGATCGTCCATGATGCGACACTGCTGCCGTGGACAGCGGGCACTAGCTCGGAGGGCCTCCTCTGGAGGAACAATAAGGGAGGCAATGCCAGGTTCCACAGCTGGCATCTGCCCTAACCCAAACCTTGGGGCCTCTTGCATAGCAGCAAGGGCTCTCCCATCTGACATTGATCGAGAAAGAGTCCGATTACGGATCAGCAAGCATGGAGTTCCCTAATGTACTCCCCTGAAGGCGGGACAGTGAAGGTGGCCGTCCCACGTCCATGGCGCCTAAAAAAGGCGTTAGAGGTGGGAGGCTGGACCTGTGGAGAATCCACCCATAACTGTGCAAGGCTAGCTCTCATAGCAGTCGCCACTGGCTCCCCCATGCCTCCCATGGAGATGCTTGATTCAGCATCCGACCCTGTGGGCGACGTACCCAGGGTTCCCCTCGGGAAAGGCTGTCAGAAGCCGCAACCGAGAGGGCATCCTCATTGATGACTGAATCCTCATCGGTAGCCGGAGACAAAACCAACCCCCGATCAGGAGGGAGGTTGCAAAGACTGGAGCAGAGCCTTCATCCGGGATAGCTCCGAGGACAACTGATCCACCCTAGAAGACAGCCCACCGTCCGAATGGAGAAATTCTTTGCCATCGTAAACGGAACATCCGTTGGACGTTTAGGTCGTACCCCCTGGTCAGGGGGCAACCGTTACTGATGATGAGAGCCCATCCAGGGAATGGTCTGTTCAACTGAGGACAGTCAGGCCAGCCACACAGAATGGGGGAGAACACTGCAATTGGAGCAGGCGACATCAGTAAGCGCCTCCTTAAGGTGGTGAACAACCAGACAAGGGGGGCACAGGTCATAACCATCCTCAGGTTGCAGAGGAGCCAAGCAGGTGGAACAAGAGAGATGTTCCATATCCCGATGATGGAGCCCGTACTCCAGAGCAACATCACCAGCTTGACAGGGCAGAAATTTCAAACAGCAACTAGCTGTTTATTATGTCTAACCAAGGAACTCAGCACTGGCAGAGAATGCCACCGGCGATGTAAATATAAACAAAAAACCATAAGTTGTAGTCAAGTCAAATCAAGGAACTCAGCATGGGCAGAAAAAGCCTCTGGTGAGGTACATTTCAATTAAGCCAAAGCAAGTAAGTCAGCACGGGCAGAAAATGCCACTGGTGAGGTAAGAACTAACAGAACACCATACGTTTCAATTCAGACAAACCAAGGAACTCAACACGGGCAGAAAACACCACTGGTGAGGTACGTTTCAATTAAGCCAAAGCAAGTAACTCAGCACGGGCAGAAAACGCCACTGGCGAGGTAAATAAAATGAGCAGTATCAGCTGTTACAGCCACCAGCTGCTCAATTAAACAACACAGGCGGGCAAGACACTACCCGCAGGGTTCAGAAAAATGAAAAGAAGACAGACTTACAGGACACCAGATGAGATCCGTAGGCACAACAATTGTCACAGAAGGACGAGAACATCCGCAGCTCCGATCACAAACGATCACAGGGCTACTAGCAGCAAGCTGATGGAGGAAGTAGTAATGCAGAGAAACTCATGCGTCTGTAAAAAAGAAACCACTCATAACAAACCTGCGTGCGAGAAGATGAGAAGGGACTGAACTACCAGTGTCACGTGCCTATATAGGCTTCTGCTGATCACCGGTAGGACACAGGTGACTTTGTTGATACTAATTCTCTACCTGCGCAAGCGTAAGAGTGATCATTCAGTGCTTGAAGCACAGCCTCTGGCGATCAGTAGGGATGTATTAGAACCAAGAGATCAAAGGTCCGAATAGGTGCCGGAAGGAATTCCTGAACGGAGTCGGAAATAGTGCCAGCTTCGGTCCAAAGACGGTCCTGTCCTCAGCAGGAGTCTTAGGACAGGTCAGGCATACAGATCAGAACGGATACGGGCAGGCTCTGNAGGTCCGAATAGGTGCCGGAAGGAATTCCTGAACGGAGTCGGAAATAGTGCCAGCTTCGGTCCAAAGACGGTCCTGTCCTCAGCAGGAGTCTGAGGACAGGTCAGGCATACAGATCAGAACGGATACGGGCAGGCTCTGATCTGCAGGACGAGTCAGGATCAGGTAATCAGAAACTCGATAGATAACTCTCAGAACAGGCTCAAATAGAGACTAAAGCAGGTGGATAAGATGAGCAGTGATGAGAACGGGCAAGGCTGGGCAAGTGAATTAAATGAGAGATCAGACCAGACATCAGCGCCATGATCATGACACACTGAGGATCCAGTTTCTGTCTTTCTTAAGGGTCTGATCCAGTATGAGTTGCTGCTCGTCTCCACCTTTTGGTCTGAAACACTTTCTATTATCTGAAGATAGTTTGCAGCTTTTTCTAACTTGCAGTTGTTGTTTTCTACTTGCATACTTTTCCTTTGCGTGTGTTTTGTGTGTTAGCATCATTTATGTGTTTGCAGAAGGTTTTGTATTTGCAGGACATTTGCACTTTGCTGCTCTTTGTTTGCTTTTTATTGTGTGTCAGACTGATCTTTGTCTTTGTTGAGCATTTATGTATTTGCTTTGAGTTTGAACCTCTCGACCATCACCAAATAATATTGTCACTCATATGCAATATTCTTCTCTCTCACTGTGCAATAACACATGCCAACTACTATGTAGCCTGCGTAACACTTTTTACTTATTTTGTAAGGTCGGTACATATCTGCATTGCAAGTGAAATAAATTTTTTGTACTATATAGACTCTTTTTATATTGTTTGTCGTATCTATCTTTAATGACATCTTGTTTTAGCTCTTTGTACTGTATAAAAGCCACTGCAACCAGAATTTCACTGAAGGAGTAATCCCAAGGGATAAATAAAGTTGACTCTAAGTCTCAAAACACTTGTAAACATTTCTACCTTTTTTTTTTTAAGCCCCTGCATCTGCTGCCATCTACTAGTAACTCAACAAATACTGTAGACACATATTACTGTCGCTGACATAAACTTGGTTTAATTTTAATGTTGTTAAGTATTTTGCATTGAGTTGAATTTCTTTTGGCTCCAGTTGCCTTGAACAAACTTCATCCAAAGCGTGTTAATGTTGGTGCTGGGGTTGTCATGTACCTATGTCTTGATTTTAGATAGAAAAGCTCACATGTAGAGACCGCCTTCCTGCATACATGACTAACATCGTCATGATGCTACTCATGGTAAGTCAAAAATAACTATTCAGATATGATTCTACCCCAAGTATTGTTAAGACTAAAGGTTTTTTCTTGTAACCCTTCCATGATAGATTGGTGTGACGTTCGCCATTGTTTTTGGTGTGATCCTTTACCGGATCTCCACCAAAGCTGCTCTGTACATGAGCTCCAGTCCCACCACCAGAAGCCACGTTCAACTGACAGTTAAAACCACAGCAGCCATCATCAACCTGGTGGTCATCCTGATTCTGGATGAAGTGTATGGTGCTGTGGCTCGCTGGCTCACTGTTTTAGGTAAGCAAAGGAACTACTGCACATCCAGAACCCTTGCTCTTCTGAAGACTCTGAGTCACAGTCTTTTAAAGGGCCTCTAAGAGAAAAATGATTTTAATAGTTTATGTTGTTATTTAAAGAGGAAAAGAATCCTAAAAATAATCCAATACCCTTGTGAACGATCAATAATAAATTGTTCATGATTCCTCAGCTACATAAAGGTTAATAAATGTATAGGACTGCAGCTGTTAAACATGTAGTCAGTCATTATATTTATTCATGTTGTAAATCAGCTGTAACCAATTAAAAATCAGCAGGGTCCGAATAAAGAAAATCCCTCATCCAGTAAAGGTCTGGAGACATTTTTAATTATAATCTGTTACTTTAAACAGAATTAATCACTGATATAAAATTAGGTTTTTATGCATCCATGTTATACATTGACTTTTTAAATAAAAAAAATATAAAAAATAGAAAAATTTTCCATTTTAAAATCTAAAGTGTTTGTTGAAGTAGAGAACAACAATTGTTCAGTTTGGTTTATAGAAAATTTCCTGATTCCCATATTTTCTCAAACACCTGAACTGAGCGTTTGTTATTTTCTTTTTTTTCTGTCTTAATGTTCGCAGTGGGCTTTATGCTGCCCTGCAAGGCTTTAAACCTGGGTTTGAATGCAGACTAAGCCATTCTAAAGCACATATCAAGGTGCTCATTTTGACACTGTCATTGGACAACATGCAGTAATTTATAAATGTTTTAAATCAGGTTGGGTCAGAATAGAAAACACCAAAGATTATGTAAGATGTGTTTTTTATTTTAGATTTTAAGTCAGTTATTATCATCCTTTTATTCTCTAAACTTTTGTACTTTTATATTTACACTTATAGTAATAATAATTTAACTTTATTGATCTCACATTGGAGAACCTCTGCATTTAACTTATCCCCTTGGGGAGCAGTGGGCTGTCATTGTGCAGCGCCCGGGGAGCAATCAGGGTCTTGCTCAGGAACCCAGAGTGCAGGCTGTGGGATTCGAACCAGGTGCTTGGAACCTTCTCAGAGCACAAGCGCACTGCTCTAACCACTAACCCGCCCCGGAGGTCTTTAACGGGGTCAGCGACCCCTAGGGGGTCAACAGAGGTACTGCATGGGGGTCGCTAAAGTTTTGGTTGATTAGATTTTTTTTTATATTCCCTCCTGCAATTTTTTCCACTAATTGAAATGTCTTTAAATCCACATTAACATGAATTCAACAGACTGTAGTAAACAGATAAATGGAGGCAGAAGATGTCTTTCAGTCATCAATGCACACATTCAGCGACACACAGGAGCTCTTTCAAGCTGGGCACCGTTTCATTCACAACACCTGTCCCATCAACCAGGAATCAGAAATACTTTAATAATCCCAGGGAGAAATTACTTTAGTTACATTACTCCATCTGGAATAGAGTGACTAGAGAACCAGTTTGATAGAACACTATTTTATGCAATATATATAATTAGGGGGCCCCGCTCCATCAGTTTGGGGGTCCTTGGCCTGGAAAACGTTGAAGACCCCTGCACTAAGCCAACTCTCCCCCCTTTGAGATAAAGGGCACCGTAACTAATATCAATCATTTTAATTTATTTACTACAATAACAACTTTATTAATCTATAAATTATTATTTACCTTTAAAGAACTGTGGCTGTGACAAAATGCTGCTCATAGGAACACAAATATATAAAGTAAAAGGTAAGAAGAAACAGTAAAAAATAGCAAGAGAAATAATAAAGAATAATAAAAAACAACAATTCCATCCCACATTGGATGCCAAATAATAAAGATGGGTTTTAAAAGTAGACAGTGAAGGGGCTGATCATGGCCCTGCAGCAGGAGCACTGAGAGCTCTGTCTAAACAGCAGGCGGCCAGTAGAGGAGAGACGATGGAGGTAATGTGATTCCTCTTTACGAATTCAGTAAGGACCCTGGTGGCAGAGCTTTGGACTGACTGCAGACATTTCTGGGAGGACTGGCTGATTCCAAGCTAAAGCCCATTAAAATGTTACAAATATATTGGCTGCTGTTTCAGGGTGGTGTTCAGAAAGAAAGGGTCTGACCTTCATCAGCTGTCGAAGACAATAAAAACTGGAATCTACCTCTGCTTTAACCAGAGGATCTCATTTAAAGGAAAAGTCCAGTCAGCACGGAATAATCAATGGATCATTATTTATACCTAAAACTAATTACATTTGCAGTGAATTAATAAATTTAGCATTAATCATTAAAAAAATACGGACAGGTTTGTCGTTGGATTGCCAACATCAAGAGGGAGGATTTGCCATCGAACTTCTGGCCAGAGAGAAAACACGTAATATGTAGCCAACATTTGGAAGAAGAATGTTTTCAAGATGACTTGGATAATAGAGTTGGGCACGTTATTTCGAAAAAGTAATTAGTTAAAGTTACTAGTTACTTCTCCCAAAAAAGAGTTACTAAACTTATTAAACTTTTCGTAAATTATGTTCATAATTTCTTCCTTTTTTCTGCTTTCAGAGGCTCCAAAAACCGAGAAGAACTTTGAGGAAAGGCTAATTTTTAAGACTTTCATTCTGAAGTTTGTCAACGCGTTCACACCAATTATTTACATTGCTTTCTTCAGGGGAAGGTTACTACTGAACTCTTTTCTTATTTTTATCTATTTATTTCATTAAGATGAATATTTAAATTTCCTATTTTCCCTTCTAGACTGGTGGGCAGACCAGGCAGATATCTATATGTGTTTGAGTCTTACAGAATGGAGGAGGTGAGGCTCACATTCATTTCTATGAATCTGAAAATCAGTTTTTTTCCGCCTATGCACAGAAATCCTTATTCTAAAGCAAATGACTCAAATAAAGCACTGAGTGTGAATAGTGTCTGCAGAAACAGCACAGTCCAGGGATATCTTCTGTTTTTTAAATCAATTCTAATGCATAATGTGAACCCATAAGAGCAACTGGAGTCAATCTCCTGTTATTCAAATGTTTAATTAACATTTCATTGAGGTTTACTTTCTGCTACTTATAATTATAAAATAACGATAAGTTATCCTAACTTTTTTTGCTGCTGTTTTTTTTTTTTGCTTCTAACCTTCTGTTCGGTGTCATGGTGGGATTAAGGGACCTAACCCACATGCAGAACACACTCAGACACGGAAGAAAAGTTTGACAGTTTTCTGATCACACAATGGATAATAAAGACTGATTATGATTAACAGGTCCGGGACTGGTCACAACAGGGTTCTCTGCAGAGAGGGACAGTTCGGTTAGCTGAGATCCAGGTTCAGTTGTTTGTTGAATTATGCAGGTCTGTACCTGTTCAGTGGTTGACTGAGCGGCAGAGGGAGGGAACCAGGAGGGTCCAGAGGCAGATGGTGAGCAGAGGGCTTGGCAGTGGCAGGGCTTGACTTCAGACTTCTCGGTGTTCAGATCAGAGGTTTTCTCCAGTTCTCTTCTTGAGAGCGGGTAGGCAGGTTCAGACAGATTGATCATCCAATGATCTCCAGAGATCAGACAGGTAGTGCAGATGAGAAACTCTTCCAGAGTTTTCAGGATTCAGTTCGATTCTTCCTAGGAGGCAGAGAGAACAAAACTGGTTAGGTTCAGGTTGCAGTTTGTAGCACAGACCTGAAAAACCCTAACATCTACTTCCAGCCGCCACCAACAGTAGAGGAAAAACCCCAAGAGGCGAGCGGGTCTGAGGCAGCTGCTGCTGGGGATTCCCAGTGACAGCGCACCGCCGGTATGTGGGGGTCTGAGCGGCTCCCACAGAGAAATAATCTTTGAAGGCAGGATGGTAATCTGGATGAACTGACTGCACAGACCATGTTTTCAGGAGGACTTTCTCTCTTCAAAATAGGTTCAAGCTACTTTTTAACCACTGATCACAGCAAATATAGCAAAGCTGCTCTCTGGCATTGAACACAGGAGCAGCAGCAGCATCTGGACTCACTTTACTGGACGCCTGACCTTAATATGGAAAAGCATCAAAACCGAAGCAGCAGAAACTTTTTTGCTGCTTCTAGTTCTTGCGGTCTAAACGTAGCATTAAAATAAGCCAAGCGACTCTCTTGATTTCATCCGCCATTGTTCCAGGCAAAGAAAGGATAGGATAGCTCCGCCCAACGCGCATCAGACCCACTTTTCAACCACAGCTAGAGCCTCCGAATTAAACTTGCACAAGCATTGAAATTGAAACAGTGTGCACATTTTTGCTGCTTCTGCTGCGTGTGGTCTGAACGTAGCATTAGATTCCCTAAACCAGGTGGAAACAGCAGCACCAATCATTGCAGCCTCACTACATGCACCGACTTTAGAAACGTTTAGATTCTTTAGCTGCAAACCAGATTTGCTCAGGAGTTCAGAGAGCTTCATGGCTGAGCTGCTCCATCAGAGTCTAGCAGCAGAAGCTCTTTATTCTCATCGCCCCTGAGATGTTAACTTGCATATCTCTCACTGACACGATGCTTATTGTTTGACAGCCAGTAAAATAAAATCAGAAATTTTTTTTTTATAAAAATCTATAAAAACTTTCCTTCAGAAATAAATTAAAGTCTGCCAGGCGCTCTTCTCAACCCTACTCTCAGAAGGAATTTTATCTTCTTGACCTGCAGCTGGATTTCTAAGGCCAGAGGGTTTCCCATATTCTCTCTGCTGACCGTATCCCAAGTAGCCACTATCATGCACTGAATTTGCTGCCCCCTAGAGGCTGTTTCTATGAAGTACCTTTAAAAATGAGCAAAGTTGCTTTGGCTGTACCAGACGTGATGAAGTTCAGTGTTATAGACTGATTAGATCAGTGTGTTTTCTGTAAACCTGTTTCTGGGAGAATGGCCAGACCCTCCAATAAACCGCCGTCTCTGAAGTGGTGAAGCTGTTTGCAAAGGCGGAGCCAAAATCAAGAAATCCCCCTCAAGATAAAAACTGATGTCACTCTGATTCCTATGTGTGTAGAGAGTATTTAAAGCTCTCGCTTCGTATCAGTCGCCCAAGGGACTGTGAAACAACTCCATCCAATGCTGTAATAAGAACTGTAGCTGTAGCATCTTATGTTATCTCTAATTTTCTAATCATTAATGATGCTGTGTAAAGGCAGAGTTTTTTTCTGGTGTTACTCTTTTTACTGTGTCTCTGGTTCCCAGTGCTCTGATGGAAGCTGTCTGATGGAGCTGTGCATCCAGCTGAGTATAACCATGCTGGGAAAACAGCTCATTCAAAACAACCTCTTCGAGATTGGAATTCCGTGAGTAAATCTCAGGCTTTGGCACAAAACATGGATTTTAAATCAAGTTTTAGCACTTTTTATAAAAACTGCAAAACTTTAAAAAGAACATTTTAATCATGAATCTGTCGGCAGAGTAAACTTATGAAATCTATCTTGCTTTTTTTTACCCCCTCACATTTTTCAGCAAATTAAAGAAGCTGATTCGATACATTCAGTCGGAACAAGGAGCTTTTCAGGAGGAGGAGAGACAGAAGAAGCTGCGCAGATATGAAACGGACCACTTCCTGGAGCCATTCGGGGGACTGACGCCTGAATATATGGAGATGAGTAAGTAGAGGGCAGTCATTTTATGAACAGACTACTTTACAGATTAAGGCTGGACTTTAAACAGTATGCACCAAAACCTCATGTCGATGAGTTTTACATCCTGGTTGATGAGTTAAATCCTTATCCAGTCATCTGGTCTATAATGGAAATAATAAATATATGGCCTAACAGAGAAATGAGAAAGTAAGAAATCCTTTGGTAAAAGTAAAATAATTAGCTTTTTTCAAACGATTTGTTAGTTTTAACCATTGGCAGCTGGTGGAGTTCTGTCCAGGTGGCGCTATAACTTCAAAAAGCAATCAAATGTATACTAAGGTATCTGTCATAAAACGGGGCAGATGGACCCAGGATTCAAGGTTAGAGAGTCAGTAGGAAAGTTCAAAACGTTTATTATAACAAAACTAAGAGAACAGAAGCGGGTTGCTGTGGAGCTGTGGACCTGCAGAAGGGGGGCGGGGCTTCGCCCAATCACTAACACTCTCTGGAGGGAGAAACACAGGTAAGTGACCACAATAATCAGACAGGGGGTGAGTATCCGTGTGAGTCACTTACCTGGTTTAACAGTTCAGCCAATTCTCTGCGTGGAAGGCAGGATCTATCCGATGGACTGCCGAACGGGATCCGGCGCAGAGCAGTCCAGGGTTTCCCGGATCTATGCAGCCACCACAGAGAGCAGATGAGACCGATCCAGGTCAGAACTGGACAGTTCTGATATCCAGGAGTCCTCAACTCGATTAGGAGTTCCGATCTACACAGGAACAGACAGAAATGGGGTTCCAGGAATCCGCAGAGCGTCCAGGCCGATTCAGAGTTCCAGAGAGTCCAGCAACATGTTCACACAGACATGCTGAGATGAAGACAGGCGGGCTCATTGGTTGAGACAAGACTAGGTACCGGGGTTTCTGCAAGACTTTAAACTGATCTCCTCCTAAAAGCCAGGCTTATGGGAATAAAACTGATGCTCTCCGCATTACAAGCCAAAACCATCAGGGCCCCGCATAGAATGACCAGGGCACAATCAGGAAAGAAGGCAGACACAAAAACCCTCTCAATCCGCTTGCCGCCAGGAACCAGGACATGAGCCATGGAATAAACTAACTAAACAGACAATAACAGGCATAAACAGACAATGATCTGGCCCTGATAGCTGGGCTGAGCCAAATATAAAGCAGAACATACAGGTGGATGGGATCAGAATAAAGCAGGTGAAAGACATGAACATTTAGGGCCAGCTATCAGCGCAGGTCATGACAGAATCACAGCAGTATATATACATGAATGCCAACAACATAAAAACTGCATTCTAACATGTTCTGCAAAGTGCTTTAAATCAGTCCTTCCTGTCTTTATCCATGCTGGGTCAGATCCTGACGTTTGAAAAATGAAGCAGGCAAAGCAGAATAAAGCGTTATCTCACTGCATGCAGTTAGCCTAGCCTTGTAGCTAAATAATTGCTGCTTTACTTATCACTTAAGCTTAAATATTTATCTTGCGCATCTAAAAAAAAAATTTATATATTTCCAATTTTTTAAATTTAATATTTACATTTTTTTTGGTCATAATTAAGGTCATTGGGTGGGTGGTGCGGCGCCTTAACACTCTCTATTGGCTATCCACCACTGGTTTTAACAAATTTATAGAAAATAACTCCAGACCTAAACTGATCCTGGATGGATTCATCTAGTCCTAAATCTGTGCTTCATAAAGACGATAACAATTTCAAGTCGTCATAAAACAGGAGTGGAACTCCAGGCTAAAAAGTTAGCTTGGAGGAAAGCCAAAGCTGGCTAATCTTGGATGAATTCGCAACATATCGAGAAATGCTGCTGAGGAGTAATTGCTCACATACAGTAGCAGCCATTAAAAATGGCCCTTCCCAGTAAAACGCCAGCCAAATAGCAGCCCATTTCCCTACAACTCCCAGCCACTGGAGTGTCCCCCTCTTGTGCATTTTTTTACTCTGACTCCACCCTTTCACTGAATTACAGGGTCTGACCAGGAGATGGCGATTTTCTTTAGATCTTAATGTCCACAAATCACGGCGGAAAGAATATTTTAGAACAAAGATTGATGTTTAAAAAGCAATTGTAGGGGAGAACCAAGGGCCAGACAAGAAAACTGGGGAAATGTTGAATGGCTACTACTGTAGATCTAACCGGAAAGGGCACTAATGCCCCCCAGTAAACGGAATCCAATTCATGACTAAATTGGATTCCGTATCCAGTTTAAGACTGTCCCCCAACCACTCTGTAGAAATCAGGGATTTATTAGTTTGGTGCTGCAGAGATGCTAGTTGCCTCCTATCCCTTCTGCAGAATTCAAGCAGTGATTCTCTGAGGTCAGAATTCTTCCAAAAGAACAAATATGCAATGAAACTAAAACACACGCTGATTTATTCCCCTGGTGCATTCTGAAGGTTTCAGATTCATAACCACCCAGCTGAAATATAACACACACACACTTTCCATGCGTCATACCCTCGCATGTCGAGGATGCTTGGAAAGATAATTTAACAGATGTTTCTCAATAAAAACGCTTTTAGAAATGACGATCTTTCCACCATCAGTCATCCAGTCATTCAAGCAAACACTGATGGTGGTGAGCTACATTGCAGCCACAGCTGCCCTCACTGATAGAAGCAAGGCTGCTGTACACTGACGCCACCGGGCCTCCTGACCACCATCACTAGGCAATGCAGGTGAAGTGCCTTGCCCAAGGACACAATGGACCTGAAAGCTGGAGGTTGGGCTTGCAAGGCAAACTCCTTCATCCGACTCCACTGTTGCTGATCTGATCTCAATTATGTCTCGGTAGTTTTGAATGAGAATTAAAGAGAATGAGATGAGATGAATCTGAGATGTCAAACAGTGAGCAGTGAGAGATAGCGTGTTAATTTGTAGCTGAGCCAGAACTGAGATGGTGGATCCAAGTAAAGAGATGAGTGAATGAGATACATATTGGAAATCAGCACAATACGTCTCATTTTCTCTTAGCTGAGATCTGGAAAAGAAAGAGATATAGAGAACTACCACCGCTCTCACTGTCAGACTTATTTTTCAAGAGAGAAATTTAAGAAGAATAAAAAAAAACACTCTGGTATCAGTCAGAACTCATTTATATCTAGGAGATGTAAATTTGACATAAAGGATATCTGATCTTCAATTCTGGTTTGCTAAGGGCCAGCCTTTGCTATGGACCAGCCTTTGCTAGGGGCCAGTCTTTCCTATGGACCAGCCTTTGCTAGGGCCCAGTCTTTGCTAAGGACCAGCCTTTGNCAGCCTTTGCTATGGGCCAGTCTTTGCTGAGGGACAGCCTTTGCTGAGGGCCAGTCTTTGCTGAGGTACAGCCTTTGCTATGGGCCAGTCTTTGCAGAGGGCCAGCCTTTGCTAAGGGCCAGTCTTTGCTGAGGGCCAGCCTTTGCTAAGGGCCAGTCTTTGCAGAGGGCCAGCCTTTGCTAAGGGCCAGTCTTTGCAGAGGGCCAGCCTTTGCTAAGGGCCAGCCTTTGCTGAGGGCCAGTCTTTGCTGAGGGACAGCCTTTGCTATGGGCCAGTCTTTGCTGAGGGACAGCCTTTGCTATGGGCCAGTCTTTGCTGAGGGACAGCCTTTGCTGAGGGCCAGTCTTTGCTGAGGTACAGCCTTTTCTATGGGCCAGTCTTTGCTGAGGATTCAAATGAATGATCCTTGAACCAAATGATATAAAACTGGATTTTATTCAATTATACTATTAGACCGATTTTAATGCATTTGAATTTTAACTGTGTTTTAGGATTGTGTCCTTGGATAACTTATTTTGATTGAATATAACCCAAATAAATGAAATTTAATTGGATTATTTTGTATTCTTGTTTTTTTTTTTTTTGCAGTTATCCAGTTTGGCTTTGTCACGTTGTTTGTGGCGTCTTTCCCGCTTGCTCCATTATTCGCTCTCCTCAACAACATCATTGAAATACGGCTTGATGCTAAGAAATTTGTAGCCGAGTTACGAAGACCAGTGGCGGCGAGAGCCAAAGATATTGGTGAGTTAGAATAAACCCATTTTCCTTTGTTGAGGTGCAGTGAGGTTAACTGTTCAGGGAATTATTGTTTTATTTTCATGTGTAGGTATATGGTACGACATTCTGAGAGGAGTGGCAAAAGTTGCTGTTATCATCAATGTAAGTAAAACTAAACACACACATCTGTTAACAATAAAAAAAAAGTTAAGAAAAACAATCCACTGGACTTTGTTTTCAAGTTTGAAGACGTTTCTCTTTCCATCCAGGAAGCTTTTTCTGCTGGTTGACCCGCTTGTTCGGTTCAATTTGCATGTTTTCTAATTGAACATTTGGTCCACTCTATAAAACCTCAAAGTTAATGCTATTTCTGACATTTTTATTGAAAGAGCTTCCTGGGTGGAAAGAGAAACATCCTCAAACTTGAAAACAAAGTCCAGTGGATTGTTCTTTAACTTTTTTGGAATGACAAAGACCTGGATGACTGAGAATCTTCACCAGCATCTGTAAACATGTATACTTTGAATTAGATTATGCCAGACCTTTAACTTGGAATATTTCATAGGGTGTTCACCTTGGTGTATCATAATCCCAGCTGTGCATGGTGTATCGGGGTCGGGGGATCCTCCCCATGGAAAATGTTGAAATTTAGACTCTGAAACACTATTCCCTGCATTTTGAGTTGGAAGGCAGCTCACATTTTGTCTTTGTTTCAACACTACTGTAGTCCTGATTATTGGAGGTATGTGTGCTTGACTAGAGGTGGAAATGTCATAAGGAATACCTGAAATCATTTTTAGCTACAATATTATGTTTCATAGGTTAATTCAAACATTCAGAAAGTCTAATGCTACGTTCACGCTGCACGCCATCAAAGAAGCTTCTGCTGCTTCATTTCTGATGCTTGTCCACATTAAGGTCAGACGTCCAGTAAAATGTGTCCAGATGCGTCTGATGCTTCTGCTGCTCCTGTGTTCAATGCCAGAGAGCAGCTTTGCTATATNCTTTGCTATGGACCAGCCTTTGCTATGGACCAGCCTTTGCTTAGGGCCGGTCTTTGCTGAGGGCCAGCCTTTGCTAAGGGCCAGTAGCTGATAAGGGCCAGTCTTTGCTAAGGGCCAGCCTTTGCTTAGGGCCAGCCTTTGTTGAGGGCCAGTCTTTGCTATGGACCAGCATTTCCTAAGGGGCAGTCTTTGCTAAGGGCCAGCCTTTGCTAAGGGCCAACCTTTGCTATGGGCCATACTTTCCTAAGGGCCAGCCTTTGCTAAGGGCCAGCCTTTGCTATCGACCAGCCTTTGCTAAGGGCCAACCTTTGCTATGGGCCATACTTTGCTATGGACCAGTCTTTGCTGAGGGCCAGTCTTTGCTGAGGGCCAGCCTTTGCTGAGGGCCAGTCTTTGCTGACGGCCAGCCTTTGCTGAGGGCCAGCCTTTTCTATGGGCCACTCTTTGCTGAGGGACAGCCTTTGCTGAGGGCCAGTCTTGCTGAGGTACAGCCTTTGCTATGGGCCAGTCTTTGCTGAGGGCCAGCCTTTGCTATGGGCCAGTCTTTGCTGAGGGCCAGCCTTTTCTATGGGCCAGTCTTTGCTGAGGGACAGCCTTTGCTATGGGCCAGTCTTTGCTGAGGTACAGCCTTTGCTATGGGCCAGTCTTTGCTGAGGTACAGCCTTTGCTATGGTCCAGCCTTTGCTATGGACTAG